GGAGTGCGAGGAAGAGGAGAGCAATTAAGTATTTATTGAAGAGGGAAAACCTGATATTCTAATGCTGCAAGAGACAAAATTGCCTAAAATAGATGGAAGGTGGGTAAGAAGCTTTTGGAGATCAAGGGTAGTAAGCTGGTCCTTGGCTCCATTATGGGGAACTTCAAGGGGTATTGTCACAGTGTGGAAGGATGAGGTAGTGGAACTGATGGAGCAGCTGATAGGTAGATTCTCGATTTCTATCAAATTCAAGAATGTGAAGGTTGGATTCATTTGGGTACTAATGTATATGGCCCTAACAATTATAGAGAAAGAAATGAATTGTGGGAGGAGTTGTCTACGAATCAAGGTTTACACACAAAGCCTTGTGTGTAAATTAGATATTATTCAATTCTGAGAAGAAAGACTTTTTTCTCAGGTAGCAGGGGTAATAGGCAAGGGGACCCTCTCTCACCTTTCCTTTCACTTTAGCTCGTTGATGTGCAAATGATATCTTAAACCTTTGTTAGGGAGATGATCTTGAGAGGGCGAGAAGTTTAAAGATGTTGATTAGAAGCTTCAAAAGTATCTTTAACTTGAAAATCAATTTTGAAAAGAGTTGCATGGCAGGGGTCAACTTGCAGCTAAGAGAAGTGGAGGCTATCACAGAGTGCTTAGAGTGTTTTTTGAAGTTGGCCATTAACCTATTTGGGGCTTCCTTTAGGAGCAAATCCTTAGGAAAGTAGGTTTTGGTGCCCAGTTGTAGAAAAAATTGAGAAGAGATTGGCCTCATGGAAAAAGAACTACATTTCTTTGGGGGATAGACTCACCTTAATTAGTGCTACACTTGTGAACCAACCAACATACTATCTCTTTGTCTTTAGGATCCCAACTAGGGAAGCTAAGAAGTTGGAAAAATTAATGAGAGACTTTCTTTGGGAACAAGGGTAAAGTAGGAAAGATCACTTAATTAAGTGAGAGGTGGTCTGTAGGAGTAAAAAGGAAGGGGGCTTGGGTTTAGAGAACTTAATTCAGAAAAATACAGCTCTACTAGGGAAGAGGCTGTGGAGGTGGCCCATAGAGAGAGAGAGAGAGATTGTGGCATGAGGTGATTGGAAGCATTCACGGATGCTCAAAGAATGGAAGGGATGTTGGTGTACCAAGCCGAGCAACTATGGCAACCCCTTGGAAGGCAGTGCACAGCATTCTTCCTTTGTTCCTCAGTTATATCAGGTATGATATCTGTGATGGCAACTCTGTTCGAGAGGATACTTGGGTTGGAGATGTCACCATGAAGATCTTCTTCCCCTCCTTATTCTCTGTTTCTCAGTACAAAAAAGAAGGTGTTTCCAAATTTTTCTCCTCGTTGAAACTCCTTGGACTCCAACTTGGGATTTTGGGTCCATAAAGGTTTAAGGGATGAGGAAATCAGGTGTTTAGCTAGTTTGTTGAGCCTTCTTGAGAAAGTTTGTTTGAACTCTTCTAAACCAAACAAAAGAATTTGGACACCTCGGTCAAAAGGGTCATCTTCTGCTTTTTCAAATCCCTTTGCCACTTTAACCATCAGTTGGTCTTCCCTTTTAAGGGAGCTTGGTGCAAGCCTATTCCCCCTAAGGTTATGGTTTTTTGTTTGGACATGTACTTTGGGAAAGTAAGAACTTTGGATAATCTACAAAAGAGAAGACCTTACCTTTGTATTTCTCCTAACTGGTGCATCGTGCATCCTTTGCAGATCTTAGAAGAGTGAGGACCGTTAAAATTAGTAAATTCTCGTTCTTTTACTTCAAAGTTATGGGGTTAGCTCCTTTCTCTGTTTGGGTGCTATTTTATCCTTCTATTTGTTTGGCAACAGAAAAGAGTTAAAATTATGTAGAGGTGTGCAATAGCTTCACAACTTGGGAAAAAAGGAATGCTAGAATTTTCCAAGAGAAGGAAAGAAACCATCATGAGATTAAGGACTGTGTCATGAATAGGGTTATCCATTGGCTGAAATCTTTGGACTTGTTCCACCAATTCTCCTTTAATGAAATTTGGAAGAATTGGGCAGAAGTTGCAAGTTATTACTCTTCCAAGGTTAGAGTAAAAACAAGCTGGACACCACCTCCTGAAAACTTCTTGAAGCTGAATTTTGATGGAAGCAGTCAAGGTAACCCAGGCCCCTCTAGGTTGGGTGGGGTTTTGATGAATGAAATTGAAAATATGGTACTTTTCTGCTCAGGTCCTCTAGGAGTGGGAGATTCTACTAGAGCAAAATTACTAGCTGCCCTGCAAGGTGTACAGTTTGCAGCTCAATTAGGGGTGAAACAGCTAATAGTTGAAGGTGACTCCAAGGTAGTAATAAGCCGGTTGCAGAACCCAGAGTCAGTAGTTTGGTGTTTCAGGAATGAAATTAAGAAGTTTAAGATTCTGACAAGAAACACATGTGTAAGAATACAATGGGTGAGGAGATCAGCAAACTCTATGCCGGATTGTCTAGCCAAGCAAGGGGCAGCATGGGGAGCATCAGAAGGATTTATTTACTTATCAAAAAAAAAATGTTTCATCATGGGGAGCATCAGAAGGATTTATTTACTTATCAAAAAAAAAATGTTTCCATCATGGGGAGCATCAGAAGGATTAATTTTTCTTTTTTCTTTTTTTTTTTTTAAGGAAGGTTAACTTTCATTAACAAAAAAAGGGGAAGGACATACAGGATGTGTAAGAGATACATCTTATACAGGATGTATAAGGATATACAGGATGGGAGGGGAAGGTTTTTGATTTCTGTTTATTTTGAGCATCAGAAGGTTTAATCTTAATGTAAAACTGAAGTGCTATGAAGTGGTAGAGTAATTAGTAGGACTAGTGATTAGGATCAAATGATAACAAGGAAGGGGTTGTGGGAAAAAGTTCGCCATTAGAGAACCATGGGAGAATCCTAGGGATCAAAGGGAGGCTTTCATGTAATTAGATATTCTCATGAAACAAATAATCCAAACCAAAGAATCACCGATCACATGAAGATGTGCAATTGGTACATCAATACATGTGAACTTAAAGAATTTCACATGTTTCAGGCTCGTTTCACCTGGTCCAATATTCAAGCAAATCCTATTTGTTCCAAATTAGACAAGATCCTCTCCTCTATGGACCGTGGAGATCCTGGCAGGAGTTCATGTAAGGACCTACCTAGACCCATCTCAAACCATTGGCCAAAGCTCAGCCTTCTCTCCTTTGTAGATAGAAGCCTCAGCTTTTACGGAGGAAACTAGTTTGGAGGTAAGAAAGCATTGATCAAATGCAACTGTCTTCAATTCATGAAATGCTTAAAAGATCTTCATATCAACTTGCCCCATAGACATGGTTTGTGCTAAAGATTGTCAAAAGCTTTAATGAGGGCCAAGTCTATAAAGTTATTTCTGATTTTTCCTCTGACGATATGTGGAGAAATTTGGAAGCTGTAACTAGAAGTTCTGCTACAAGGATTAAACCTGTTGTGGGCTGGAAACCACCAGATGAAGGATTCATCAAACTGAACTTTGCTGTGTTCTCAGGTCCAGTTGGTGTAGGGAACTCGGTTTTTGCAGAGTTCCAAGCTGTCTTGCAAGGAGTAAAAATTGCTATAGATTTAAATTATAATAGACTGTTAATTGAAGGTGACTCTAAGCTGGTAATAGGGTGGTTGAAGGAACCTGAAACTGTAATTTGGAAATACAAAGAATCATAGTTGTCAAGGCGACGCCTAGGCAACAAGGCGCCCTTTGAGGCTCGCCTCGCCTAATTGCCAAGCAGTTTTCTACTTCCTACTATAAAATATTTTTTTATTCATTACTTTTTAAAATTATAACTATAAAATAGACATTATTAAACTAAAATAATCATTTTGTGTTTATATACTAATTTCTTTTTATTATTTTCTTATTTATTAGGGTTTAATCAACACAAACATTGCTAAATGCTGTATTGAACCCTCAAAGACTTAAAACCTGAACTAATTAGTAAGGAAGAACTTAAAATTTTACCTAAACAGCACATTTTCCTCTTCCTATAAAAAAAGGGAAACCCTCAAAGAATTAAAATGTGCAGCTATTAACTGTCAGTTTTAGTTTTGTGCAAAGAAGCTTGAACACCATCGAGCAATGTGCTGCTATTAATGCTCAGTTTGGAAAGAGTACAAATACAAATATGAACAGTGCAAATACATACAAAATATAAGATTTTGCACTCTACATATTTGCATTTGCACTCCTTCCAAACTGAGCCTAAAGGATGTTATGAGGATGGTAAATTCTTCAGCCAACCCCCATTTAGCTATCACAGGTTTCCCTTTTTTTATAGGAATATCACAGGTTTTCATTCCAAACCTGATTTTGATAAGCGTTTGGATGGGGATTCAATTAATTCTTTGGATGGCCCTGTATTTTGATTATTGTGTTTTCACTCCTTTTCTTCATTGGGTTATGGATAATTGTGGCATTAATATGGTAATGTTCTAAGATAGCAGTTTGAGAGCCCAAAAAAATGCACGTGTTCTTCATACAAAGTCACACTCTAAGGAGTCTGTGATGGAAGATGTGGTGTTACTGGAGGTTCATTGTGTCAAGACTCAAGACTACTCTCTTTTCCTCATTCACTCTAGAAGATATTAGAAGTGGGGCAAAATCATCATAACAAGAACAAAAACATCTTATTTATGGAAGCTTCCAACACCGAACCATCTTAAATTGAACTTTGATTGAAGTAGAATGGGGACCAAGCCAACAACAACCAGAAGATTTGTTATTAGTAAACAAAAACAGGATAAGACCCATTGCATGTTAAACCTTGAAATAGTAAGGGGCAGGCATAAAAGGACATGGGTAGTAGTGACAAATGATTTGCAGGCTCACAACTTAACAATGGATAAGGCACTTGATAGAATAGAATAGAATAGAGAAAACAGAAGTCATAAAGACAACCCCATAATGTTGGAACAAGTTGTGTAGATTACTTGATTTTAGTCGACAGAAGGAAAAACAGGATAATGTTCACAAAAGACTTACAGAACTATGAAGTGATTCTAGCATACGCCCTTGGTCCTCTGCCCTCTTTAACACTGTTTCAACTTTAGAAGCAGCCTCGTCATTTTGCTTTTGGAGCTCCATTTCAAATTTGCCCTACAATCCCAATTACGCAGTCCCAGCTTATTCAATGACTATATAATGCAGGTTAATCAAGTTTTCAATAAAAAACTAATGTAACCAAAAGCACAAGATCTTTTATGTTCACAACCAGCAACAAGCAAAACATTAACTATAATTTACGGGTGAAATTAGATCAAGAACAATAAACTTAAAGATACAATTAGATGTAGAACAGGACTGTTGAGTTACCCGTAACTCTGTTTCTATTTTCTCATTTTCTTCAGAAAGAGTGCGTACAAGAGTTCGAAGCTGGACATTCTGCTCAACTAATCCATTTATATCCTTAAAAGTCAACTGCTTCAACAGTTTCACCAAAAGTAAGGTCTTAGGGTACATTATCTATTCATCCAAGGGGAATCACATAAAATTCAAAACAATAAATCATGTCTTGCTCACAAGTCGCTCTGAAATGACTTTCTCCGCATCCGACTCATCAGTCATTCCAACAGTTAGAGCATTAGCAACTTCATCAGCATAAGCTTGTCCAATAGATCCACATCTGAGCTGAATATCATGGCATTCCTTGAGAAGAACAGTCACCTGAAATAGTGAACTTGGCAAATAAGACCACTATAGGCTGTGTGGTAAAGGCATGGCATTACTATCATCATAATTGTGAAGTCCCCGCATTGATGTTATCACAGATACAGGTGATATACATAAGCTTAGATGTTTAAATTAGATAATTGTCTCATCTCACTGTAAACAAATTGTATATCAATATAGCCATGATGCAGACACCATTACCTCCACATATTTTTATTATAAGGAGAAGAGCCACATTTTTCCCAAGAAAAAATATATTATGATTATCTGGAGAGACTAGTCATATAAAATACTAGTATTCCAATGAAAATACAAGAGGTCAGAAGCATTTTGCTGCAAAGTATTGCAAAAAAATCTACAGTAAATTCATAATTCCAAAAGGCAAAGAGTTAAACAAATCAGAATTCATAGCTGTTTTATTATAGAATATTCAGGCTACATGCACTGCTCAGTGAATAAACACCTCTAATTCATATCACCTTCAAATCAAAACATCCATTAAACATATGTACATGTATATAAAGCACTGTATTAACTTCATTTCCATAGAAAAAGGGAATGAAATTGAATCCATGCATATAAAATTGGCAGGTAATAAAAGAAGAGGGGATCAAGTAGTAAAGAATGTAGAATCTTGGAGCTGACATGGAAAGGATTTCACAACAGATTTAATGCAGTCACCTATAAATAGATGGCAATGCCTCCTTTAACAAAAATGGAAAAAAAAGGCCATTACTTAATATTGGTCCAGTTTATCATGTGTCTTGGGAGGGAGGAGTGAATACAGACCTAACCTATGGCATTTTTTTGCACAAAGCAACCTCTCTCAGAGTCCACAGGCTCCCAAATTGAATGGCAATCATAGTTTTCAAGATGCCAATGCAAGACCAGGCTAGGCAATAGAGGGCACCTTTCACCTGGGCAATGGGTTTTCTCAAAATAAAAATCCCTGAATCCTAGACTAGCTCCCTAGGTTCCATAGCTACCAGCAATCATCTTTTCTTTTAATCAGCAAGCTACCAGCAATCATCTTGCACTAGTTGCTATCAATAATCTTCATAAAAAGGTATAAAATTCATTTTAAAACATACAAAATCAAGACATTCATAAGAAGAAAAATGAAGAAATAAAAAAATCATAAATAAAGGGGCTGAGCCCCTGTTTTGTCCTAAGAAAAGAAGAAAAGAAACGATAAAGAAGAAAAAGAAGAAAAATGTGTTGATTGGACAAAATTTCAAGTTCTTCCTAGCTTATCGGTTCAAGTTTCCTCAAGGGTTTAACACAGAATATACTAACAAGTGTGATGATTGAACCCTAACAAATAAAAAACTAAAATTTAAGCCAACAAAATGAATAATTTAGTATAATTATGTCTACTATATTACTATAATATCTAAAATACAAAATAAAAATATATTATAGTGCCATTACAAAATAGCTGGGTGATAAAATGAGGCAACACTCCTGTAACAACAATGACAAGAGAACCAGAACAATTTTATTAGGAATCAACAAAAGACATATCACAAGAAATCAGGAAAACGCATGCATAATCATTTACCTGTTTCTGAAGGTCACTAATCTCTTTCTCTGCTGCACCATACTCACGTTCCCTTCTCCTTAAGTCAGCCTAAGAAATTACTTTGTTAAACATAATTATAGAGAAGAGGCTTATAAACCTTTAAAAGAAAAACAGCAAGGATCTTATACCTTTAATTCCTGGATGGTTCTTTCTAGATTAGACTGCATAGGAAGCGACTCCTGCAATTTCTTATTCATGAGAAAATATGCTTCAACCATTCTCTCATGTTCCGCTGCACAAGTGAATAATGCGATAAGTATAAAGAAATATACTTTAACAAAAAAAAAGAATAAAAGAAAATCAAATCCGAAATGCAGTAACACCAAATAAATCTAACAACAAGATTACTCTAGTACATTGTCAGTAAATAAAAAGGGACACAGACATGGTCATAGTTTATCAAATAGATGGCAGTTGAAATACTGTTACTTTACAGACTTACACGCTTATTAACCAATCTAAAACCCATGTAACATCAGTATCAAAGTTTACACCCAATACGGATGGCCTCTTGCTAAGCAATAGATATGGTCTATCTTCTTCCCTTGCCATCAATTGGAACTGAGCTTGTACATATTCTACCAATTTCCTGACTTCTCTCAACACATGACAGCATTGCCATGTTAATGAAACGTCACCAAACAATTTATTAGTGTATGGGAGTCTCCTAGTTTTTTAAAAGAACAAGGGTCTTTTTGGGCCCAAGGTGCATGCCCTTTAGAAATGAGGCACAAAATTTTCAAAAATGTATAAAATTTTGATAAAAATCAAAAAGCTTGCAAATATTAATTAAAAATTCATGCTTAAATTAAAAACTAAATGCTTTAAAAAGAATATTAACTAAAAATAAAATACATATATAACATATAAAACTTATTTAAAGGTGCACCACCTTGCCTCAGCTTGCACTGGTGAGCTTGCTTTGCTCGCTCGCCAAAGTAGAGTAGATGAGTAGATCCCCCATTTTCGCTAACATTGTTCATTCGTTCTTCTTAATATAAGACAATCTTTAAGAGGCAAGGAATTGTAAATAAAATTATAAAATCATTATTTATGTACAAGTAGTTAAAAATTGAAGACCCTAACATGGGTTTGTTTGGGCTTTGCCTCAAGGAGCTCGATTAAGCCAGGTCCATGCTTCAAAAACACAAAAAGCACAAAAAATAAAAAAGGTGCACGCCTAGGCTGAGTTGCAAAGCACACCAGGCACAAGCACCCCCAGTACAAAGCCTGTCTATCTGCCCCATCATTTACAACTTTACCAGCAAATGAATTAGCTGATCTTCACACAAGGCAGAATAAGGTATCCATAATTCCATATAAGTAGCACGATATCTAACCTCCTTAATGTGGTGTCCTAGCTTCCATTGACCACCGATTTCCCACCTCATCCATTTTATAATTACTTTTAGAGTATATATCTACAGAAAGGTTGCCATAACCCAAAGATGGATCCCGACAAACCCATCTGATAATGAAATAATTCTACCTCAAAGAGTATCCAACTCCTATAGGGCCAAATATAACAGTTAAGATCAAGTTTTGCACTAGATCCATTATATTCTTAAAGTTGTGTTTTCTTGTAGTGTAAATTTCATTTGCAATAGTGCATAAGTATGAGGATTAAAATGGACTGAATGAAAATTCTAGTTTACCTGTTTGCGGTTTTACTTTGTATTGTTCCTTTAATGAGAAAATTAGTTAGTGAAATGTAATCCCCACTCTATGTAAGGAAAAATGAAACAGGTGAAAGGCCATTTGTTTAAGAGGCACATGGCACAAATTTTAATGCAAAATTTGCACTGCCATTGAATGCAAATGAGAGAAAATACAAATATGGCATCAAGGGATGCAAAACATAGTTACAAAAAAAAAAGCTTGTGAATCTAAACCAAGTATAAATTTTGCATCTGGCTTGGATATATACCGCCAACAGAGCCAAAAATTCAGAGGTGTAACATTTGTATTTATCATTAAGAATCCAAACATGCCAAGATGTTCTGACTAGATTAGTCAATACGTTTTTAATACCCTGAGGAAAAATGCAACTCCTAAATAAATAACCTATTTCACAATTTACCATACTAGCACCCAGATGAAAGATACTAACAAAAATTGTTGCATTCCAACACTAAAAATTGAACCTGTGTACCACCCCAAAAAACGAAATGAATCCTAGGAATATCACACATCGCTAACAGAATGCAAAACACAGAAGGAAATAAAAATATGCAAAATACACAAGGCAAAAAGAACACCAATTATCTTTAATATGCCATCATGTACCTCGTTCATCCAAAACCACTGCAGCCTTCTCTTCTATTTCATATAGGACCTGACCAATGAAATTTTATAATAAATCAGTCACTTGGCCAACAGAAAAAAATAATATATCCTCTATAACCAATTCCATATTAAAATTCTTTTCAGGCTATAGGGGGACCATGCAAGAGTAGACTCCATAAAACAATATACTACTAAAAAACCATAGCAATGGAGATAGATTTAAACAATTAAGTGCATAAAAACCATGGCTGAAAATAGGGCAAGATGTTCCTTATCAATGAAACTCAGAAGTTGTATTAAACAACTCCACTATTGATGAAAAGGGAAGATGGTAAAAACAGCAAAAAATGTGCATTGAAGCACATCAGAGGGTAAAATATTACCTGTGAAACGTGTTAGGAAGAGATTTATCAAAAAAAAAAAAAGTGCTAGGAAGAGATAAACAAAACTTAATAAAAAGAAATTCCTATTATGTAACCAACAAGTAATGCATAATGTTGCCACTACCCCTTCACCCCGCAAAGTAGAGGTGTAAATGGCCTGACTTTGAACCAGTGTTTTAAAAGCGCAAGGGCCAATTTGCGCCTGAGGTGCAAGGCGAGGCGTACGCCTTTTTAAGAAAGGCACAAAATTACAAAAAAAGGCTAAAAAATCAAAAAAAAAGGGAGAATTTTCAAAAAAAATGCCAAAAAAAATTTTAAAGCAAAAAATATTAAACATAATGTTAATAAAAAATATAAACTTAAATTTTAAATAAATGTTTTAAAAAACCTATTATCTAAAATTAAAATACATAAACATAACATGTAAAGCATATTCAAATGAAAATTTAAAAATAAAAGCAAACATATAAAGCATTTTCAAGCATGTAAAACCCACAATCTCTTTTTCTCCTTAATTGCATAGCTTCAAGTAGCTAATGTGATGTAAAACATATTGCATTCTTGATTCTATGAGTTGCCTTTGTACCACACCCCTCGAGGCAAGCCCGAACAAGTCTATGTTAGGGTCTGAAATTCTTATTTCTCACATAAAAAATAATGATTTTATAACTTTCATTGCCTTTTAATTAACTTTGGACCAGCCTGGCACGATGGCACGCGGGCCATGCCAGGCCCAACACGATGGTTTGTGCCGTGCTGGGCCTACGGTTTTAGGTCCGCGGACCGGGCCGAGCCAGCACGACCAAGCGATATATATATTATAATTATATAATAATATATAGTATATAATATATTAATAAAATAAACAATTGTTTTCAATTTTATCATACCAATTGATTTAATTATTGTATATATAAGCAATTGTATACATCAAAATTCATATAAAATTAACATTTTAAGTTTTTTTTCAATTTTTTTAAATAAATAGGCAAAAATAGCTTTGGCCCGATCCATGGCCCGACTTGGGCCAAGGCTTGGCCCACGGGCTTGGGCCGTGGGCCATGCTGGGCCAACCCCCAAACTTTTCACTAGGGAGGGCGACACGGCCCGTGACGGCCCACGGGCCAGCACGGCACGGCCCACACTTTGTGCAGGCCGTGCCGTGTCGGCCCAGCATGCCTCACTTTACACCTCTACCCCAAACCACACCCTGCATGTACAAAACCAAAAATGAATTTAAGAATCCAATGCAACAAACAAGATGAGGGTCCATAGTTTGAGAAAAGGAAAGTCAGCTCTTATTTTAACTATATCTGTCAGCTAGCTCATCAAGGGTTGAGATTGTCTAATTAATTGTGTTTTTGGGTTGTACATTTAGAAGTTTTAAAAACTATTATCTACTAAATGGAAGACTGAGACATGGACTTAAAGAATGAGGGACCCACACCCTTTTGTTTGGCTTGGAAGGATACAAACAAACCTGATTAAGGAGGCAAAGCAAATTAGATAGAGTCATAGAGAATCAATTTCAGCATCCCCTAACACCCTATGAAAACCAAAATCCAAATTTGGAGCCAAGGGTGTTGTCGAGGGTGAGACAAATTTTAAAACAACCTCTTTTTAAACAATGAAATGGAGAACAACACAGGGAAAAGGTCCATTAAGGGGGTATTTCCCACCCGAATATCCTCCCAAAACTGGACAGAACCAAAACAAGCTTCGTACCTAACAAACCTGAGAAACTAAGGAATGATGTTGTAGATGGCCTTCCACAGTGCTGCCAAATTAGCCCACCTTGATACACCTGCACCCCACCCATCCTATGAGATGCCATGAATGCTCTACACCGCTTTATGCTAACTCGCTCTCCAATGACCAATGCCAAAGCCATTTCCCCAACAATGCTTATTTTTTTGAACCACCCTCCCTATCCCCAAACCCCCTTACTCTTTGCTTCGAGCCTTCGACACACAATATCCCATTTAATCAAATAATCATTTTTCCCTTGTCCCGGTTCCCAAAGAAAGCCTCTCATTAATTGCTCCAACTTCCTAGCTTCCCTAGGTGGTTTCCTAAAGATAGATAGAAAGTGGGTAAGTTTGCCAATGTAGCTTTCATTAATGTGATCCTACCACCCAAAGAAATGAAATTCTTCTTTCAAGAAGCTAATCTCTTCTCAAACTTTTCTAGCATTGGGGTCTAGAATATACTCTCCCTAGGGTTTCCCCCTAAAGGAAGCCCAAAATAGGACAAAGGCCAAGAAGAGATGGAACACTCAAGACACCCCACAATAGCCTTGACCTCCCTATCCTCCAAACTAATACCCATCATGCATCTCTTTCCAAATTTATTTTCAGATTAGAGATTCTTTCAAAACCTTTGATTAAATTCTTCAAATTTGATACCTTCTCACAAAGACCTCCTTCACAAAAAATCATCAAATCATTTGCAAACTGAAATGGGTGATTGGGATTTTTTTCCTTCCTACTCTCCAACCCCTAATGATCTCTTCCTTGTCGGCCTTAGCAATGATTCTACTCAAACACATCAGCTACTAAAGTAAAGAGAAACGCAGAGAGTGGATCCCCTTGCCTAATACCCTTGCAAGCTAGAAAGAAATCCTTTACTACACCATCAACCAAGATTGAGTAGTGGCAGGTATTAACACACCCAAGTATCCATCTACACCATCTCTCCCCAAAAGAACAATTCCTCAACATCTCTGAGAGGAACTGCCAATCTACCAAGTCATAGGCCTTTTCAAGGTCCAATTTGCAAACAAAGCCTCTTTGCCTAGATTTTTTCATCCCTCCACACATTCATTCGCAATTAGAATCTGATATGCTCTAGGACTTACAAAGCAATTTTTTGCAAATTCCTGAAAGACATCACACAAATCATCTTTTAGCACCACCCAACAGTCTTGATAAAAAGTCATTTAAACTAGGAAACCTTTATAACTCTAATTACCGATACATCATGGACCAAATATGAACCAATACACTCTACTACATTGGACCACACAACCAGTATGATCTAGTGGTCAATCCTTGGACTTTGAAAATGACCTGCAAACCCACAAATCAGAAACCTTTGACCCTTCAGTTGAGGCACATATAATTGTCCAAATGAACCAATACACTAAGGTCAACACTTGGACTTTGAAAATGACCTGCAAACCCACAAATCAGAAACTTTAAACCCTCAGTTGAGGCACTTCCAATTCTAGTTTAAAGTACCGAGACACCCCAATGTGTCGGCAGGGATGTATCGATACTTTTTACCCCACATTTTTTTATTTCTTTTCAAAACTTCATTTTATATTATTTAACAAATAAAATAAGTGGGTTTTCACTATCAAGTATCACTCAGATAGTACTATTGAAAGATTTAAGGCCCGTTTGGTTGCTAAAGGATACACTCAGATGTATTGTATCGATTACCTGGAGACTTTTTCCCAGTGGCCAAAATGACTTTAGTTTGAGTTTTGCTATCTTTAGACGCTACTTTTGATTAGCAATTTCATCAATTCGATGCTAAAAAATGGTTTCTTGAATGGGGACCTACAAGAAGAGGTCTATATGTCTCTACCTCCAAGGGTGTATAGGAAGGAGATGCAAGGGAAGGTTTGTAAACTGAAGACAGAGTTGTCAAGGCGTCGCCTAGGCGACTAGGCACCCTTGGCTGAGTGCCTCGCCCAAACGCCTTGACTTTTAGCAACTAGGTGCCCTTATAGGGGACTAGGCGCCCACCTAGGCGATTAAGTGCCCGCCTAGGCGACAAAACTAACAAGGCGGGTGCCTTTTATAATATCATTTATATTGATGTATCTTATTATTGTATGTGTTAGTACATTTTATTATATGCTAGAGTTTTGGTCGTATCGTATCGGTACTTAGAAACGGCCGAAACTTTATTTTTTTTTAGTTTTTCTTCACATTTTGGATTTTTGGAAAGCTTTTAACATGCTTTTTATTATTTAAAAAAATTGGGGGTCCGAAACACCTGGAAACAAGCAATTCGGACCGTATCTTTTTCAAAAGATACGATACGATACGATACATCGTATCGAGCGTATCGTATCAATACTTTGAACCATGTATATATATATCAATTATATTTTGTTTTAATGTTTTACTATTGAAATTTAAAAGATCAAAGGGTTTTGAGAAGAAAAAAAAAAGAAAGAAAGAAAGAAAAGAAAAGAAAAGAAAAGAAATAGAATAATAAAGTTCTTTTTTTCTATTCTCCCTCTAATTAAATAAAACAAAAACTCAATACTTGTTTTTTTTCTATTTTACTTTCCATCTTGAATATTTATCATATAAAGTTAATAACCTTCTTTAGCTGCTAATTAATATGAATTTGCTCTATTAAATACTTATCATAGTAGTATTATTTTTGAAAATAATGAAAGTAATATATGTAAAAGATTTTTATCTTTTAGATGTGATGATTTGCCACATTTTTAAAGGAAATTTAATGTTCTTAATAAAGAGAATTGCTATTTTTCAATCAACATACATGTTGAATGGTATAGAAAACTAGGAAACTAGCCAAAAGTCAGTTTTTCATATTATAAAATTTTTATTGCCTAGGCGACTAGGCGCCCCAATGTCGCCTACACGCCTTGAAAACTATGACTGAAGAAGTCCCTTTATGACCT